CTCGAATTCGCGGGGAAAAAAATAAAGTAAACGTTAAATGAACATTTTCACTCTTTTTCTTTCTTTCTGAATTTTTTTTTCTTTTCTCTTTCTTTCTTTCTCTCTCTCTCTCTTTCTTTCTTTCTCTCTCTCTTTCTTTATTTCTTTCTTTTTTCCCTTGATTAAATTGTTTATCGAATTCATACCCGTACTGCTGCCTTGGAACAGATTACTTACAAGAGCTTTTGTTTTTCTCAGAATTATCCATACCTTTCGCTATGCCTTCTGCTTCATTTACCAAGCGTTGCCCAGTCCCCACGCGACAAACAAGTCACCAAACCCTAACTCAAATACAGCATCCTATAGAAAATCCATTGTGTCCATGCATATTATTATTTTCCAAACGAGAAGGATGATAAGCAGGAAATAAAAAAGTTGTTTTTCGGCGATTTCTCACATAAAATTCTAATCTATCTAAATTTTCAGAGAAACTTCAAGCGATTCTCCTAAATAAATTTAAATTTGTCGAGGCATTGATCTTTTCTCGGCCACGCACAGACTCTCTTCACAACACTTGTGGAAAAAATATATCGCGATTACAGATTGAGAGTCACGGATTAAACAGTTGGAAGTATCTTTGATTTGGTCCACATACGACGGAATACTCCAGTTTCGGCGAACTATCGGTTGCTTACTCAGCTTTTTTATCGTAATGGTGACAGGTTTTAATTTTTCGCTGGCAAATTTTCACTCACTTTATGACACATCAGTTTTGCAGTGACATCATTCCTACGTCACTATTTCAGATCAGCTGGAGTTATTGGTCATACACCAAATCATAGTATAGAGGCTTTGCTCCATCACGTGATGGCAGCCTCGTCAGGAGGCACAACAATAGAGCTTTTCTTCATGGGAAAGTGAATTCTTTCTCCTCTAAATCAGAACTAGATTAGACCAGATTCAATTGTTCCTGCCACTGTCATGGCTACCATCACGTGATAGTGCTAAGTCTCTATTAGTATTAGGCATATTTACGAAATATACTGCCATAATTTTAGTGATTATAATAATTATCATTTATTACAATAATAAGATGCAACAAACGTGAATCTTTGACAAACTAACGAAAAGGAAAAAATAGAATTGAAATTATGATAATAATAMAGCTATTAATCAATTGACTGGAAAAGGCGTCTGTTTGTACCAGTGTTAACAATTGGTAGTATACAGCAGCTATTTCAAATGAGGTTGAATGGCCGAACAGCGAATGGCTATATGGGTGAATGGCGATTGCACGACTGAGCGGTTCTGTGGGATAATAAGAATTTCCTCATATCCATTTCCTAAATACCTAAACAAAGCCTGTATACTGTTCAGCGAAGACCTAATATGTGCGAGTGGTATAGCTCGTTCAACTAGTGAAATTGTCAATAAGCCTTTTCATAGTTTAAAAATCGATTCCACTGCGCATGCGATTTTATCCCGAATTTCTCACCTTCTTTTGTCTAAACCTTCTTTTGTTCTTAATTAAACAAAAGAAGGTGAGAAATTCGGGATAAAATCGCATGCGCAGTCGAATCGATTCTTAAACTATGAAAAGGCTTATTGAAGAGGTTTCATTTTATTTGGGTGTCTCAAAGATACAAATGATCGTTATATAAGAAGTGAGGTAAATTGACTCTGCCGCTCACTTGAAAGTACTACTTTTACTGGGTCCGGTTGTACGAAGCCTGGATAACGCTATCTGGCAGATGAATCCTTATCCATAGGATAAGTCAATGCTGTTATCCAATAAATCTATCCGCTGGGTAAGATTTATCCGTTGCATAGCGCTATCCAGGCTTCGTATAACCGGGCCCTGATGTGCGGCGCCCAAGACCATCAAAAATGTTCATTCAGAAAATCATAACTCAGGAACCGAATGGTGAATTTTTTAAAAACCGGAATATCTCAAGTTTGTATCGTAATCTTCTTTTTGGCAAAAAAAGGAAAAAAATCTGTAATAGGAATTTCGTAAAACTCAATAAAATTTGTTTGGAATCGTTCCCTCTTACAGAATTTTTTAAATTTTTTAAAAAGTTTTCGAAAACATAAACTAAAGCCATATGCAAAATTTGAAGAAATTTCACCTCAGAGTTTTTGATTTTTCTCAGTTCGAATATTAAAAATTTATAGAGCGCGCGCGYTCAAGAAATACCGTTTCGAGCCTCCTTAACTGCAAAGATACCGGTATTGACTTAACTGATCTTGAAGAAACTCAAATCATATTCAATGCTGATAGCTTTGCAGTCAAGCGTTTGAGATTCGGAGCCGGAATCCTGTGAAATTTTGAGAAAATATTTCCAGAGCGAGAGATTCACAGCTACAAGAAGCATTAGATAAGGGCAACGGTTTTTGCACATTTGCACGTGTTCACGTGAGTATTCACGCAAGTCCTGGTGTAGAAACCAATAGAAACGATAGAAATCCTTTTGATTGACTTCCACCAAAACTCTTATTTTCGTTTGTGATGAAGATCAAGTACGTATTTCTTTTGATTCCTGGTAGAGGTGGTGGAGTTGGCTTTGCGGATTTACCATTTATAATCAATTATTGATTTGACGATGAATATTACGGGTACGACATATTGAAATAAGACAACGTTCCGGTGTCCTCATGACACCATCCTCAAAAATAAAATAATCAACAGATATTTTGACCTGATGATGGTGTCATGAGGACACCAAAACGTCGTCTTATTTCAATATGTTACTTCCCGTAATATTCATCGTCAAATCGATAACTTTATCATGCATGATAATCATTTATTACGTCTAGTATATATCTAGAGACATTTCGTTATTTTCATCCTGCCTTTCTATATCATCAACCTCGGCGACGGCAGTATCTAAGCCAATCTTCACTGATGTGCCGATAGTGATATCATCGGCATACTTCACATTTCAGAAGAAATAATGTTGTGTTGCATCCCTTCCAACTGAGCGGTAAAATTTGTTTCAGCCAATCACAGCTCGTTTAGCTGTTTTGTTGCCGGCCCTCATTCCAAGGGCTACTGTAACCTAACGTTTTTGTATTTTTCTGTTTTCTTTTGACTAAAATATAATATACGTGCCTACAGGAAGCGGAAATGTGGTAAGGAAGAATAACAACATTTTTCACTTTACCGCCATGTTTTCTTTGTCTTTCAAGAACCAAAAATGCTTAGGATGGGTCATTTTGTTCACTGACGCTTTGCGCAAGGCAAATCAAACTTCGCTAATGATCTCTCGATAACATTCGATTAAGACCAACCTCTTCAAGATGATATCGGTTTAAGAAATTGATTTGAGTTGTGCACAACCTATTATTGGCTATTGCTGAGAAATAGGTCTTCAAAAAGAAAGGAACAGACTGCTGTTTGATTGAATTGTTAAATCCTTGGTGAAAACCGGTGTAAGATGGTGAGCAAAGTCATTCCATAGCCAATAAGGAAGGTGATTTGCTTCTAATGGTGTTTTTATCAAATGTTGGAATTCGAGAGCCATCAGGAATAGTTGTTGTTCAGACGCAGTGTACTGCAAGTTGGTGTTTGTCTGCGGAAAGTGAGTTATTTATATGTAATTTACTAGTTGTCAGGTATGTCAGGTATGTCAGATGATGTCAGTATGTCTTGGTCGTCAGGTGCTTCATTGGAAGAACTCCCATCCTGCTGACCATTCTGTGATCTTAAAGAATACGGCCAGGAACATTCCGTAGCACCACGACCATTACTGACCATTGACATGTGCTCTTGGTCGTCAGGTCTGCGCTGAGGCAATGCAAGTTGCAAAGAGCATTCTACAGGTTCACCTTCTACAGCGCCCTCATCCTCCATCATTTGCTCTGCTTCATTATGTTTTTCTACATTCTCATAAGGTTGATCTGAAGTTTCATGATCGGGAAGAATGAGACAAGATTTGTCTTGTTCTACATTCTGATAAGGTTGATCTGAAGTCTCATGATCTGGAAGACGGCGACAAGAGTTGTTTTGTTCTACAATATCATAAGGATGATCTGAAGTCTCATGTTCAACATTATCATCAAATCGGTATGAAGTCCCATGTTCGGTAAGAGAGAGACGATAGGCTTTAATGTTGAATGGTGGCGACGATGGTGTAAAAAGAGCTATTTCTGATTTTGCTCGRCCTAATGTATCCGCTGATTCTTGTGTGGACGAATCTTTGTCGCTTTSACTAGAAGAGCCAGGAATAGGAGGAAGAGCCCGCGGACACATATACACTTGACTTTGCTGTTTACAAAATTCTGTTGGAGAACAAAACAAATAAGAATAAACRACTTTTTTGTCGACTTTATGGTTGGTTTCTAATGCTATCAGCGCGCACAATAGCCAATGTGCACGAGCAGCAATTTCTGGCGCGAAGCATGATGAACCGAGTACTTACGATTCTTTAGCTCCTTTAAAGATTCCTCTGACAATTTCAAAATTTTGTATGAAACAGAAAGTATTTCAACAGACGAAAATAACAGAGTATTTTTTTCCTGATAATTCTATTGATTTCCCTGTCCTCAGATTATTTGTGTAGTACTCGGTTTCCCATCATGCTTTGTGMTAAAGATTCGTGCTCGTGCATATTGCCTATTAATATGCATCTACATTGAGGGATTCCCGTGGGATTTCAAAACCAAAACTTCGTAAGACACAGAATACGTCGGCTTGAGACAAATTTATGCCCAAGAACAACAGCAATAACTTTTTTTATGTATTTCTTTATAGGAAAAGAAGTTTCGATCGTCTCAGATCGGTGAATCAAAGGACAACGTTTTTTCAATATTTCTTTTGATAGGCTTAGTTTATTCTAAAGTTGAATGAAACTTGCAAAGGAGTACGCATTACACCAAATATTCGCCATTTGCTTGTATAATTACACCAACTRAAGAGTATATTTTCTATTGCGTTTAAGAATATGTTCTTGTACAGTAACTGGGTCTTTCACTCGATTAACTAAAAGAATTATTCAAGGACATTAAATTTGTCTCTTGTATTTACGAAGTTGAACTGAATGTAAGCTTATACTTTTGGACTGACAAATGTAGGTGACAAATGAAAAACATTCATTAAAGCTGTTCCCTTTCAATCTAAAGAAATTTTTTACGTTCCATGAAACCCTCGCGGCTTTTTTCGACACAGGAAATATTTATTAATAGAGAGTTTTAGATTTACGTTCATGGCAAACGTGAAACGTCAGTTGACCAGTAAAAAATCATTTTAAAGTACTGAAAAAGAATCGCAAAAAAGTCCAAGTAGTAGAAAAACAAAAGAGTGTTTGCGCTTGGTGAGAAGGTTTGTAAAAGGTAAAATAAAGGGAAAAAAAAAGGAAAATAAAGGAAAACTATGAAAACGTGGTCACGTTTGTCGTTTGCGGGGAGAAAAAAAAGTCAATCTAAAACTCTCTAATAAGAGATAATAGACTTACGCCATATTGCCTTTAAACGATTGTTTCTTATAATACCAGTACAGAAACTAATAACCATATACGACAAAACGAGGCATCTAGGCCAGTCCGATATGCTAATTCATTATATGTGAGATTATATAAAGGACCTATTTTACATAGACCTTAGTAGACATTTTAAGTTGGAGTACGGGTCTTTTCGATTCTACTGTATTTTTTCGAGCCCAAGAAGACGAGACAAAATACAAAGAAGAGGAAATAAATGTCCACTCGCATTCTACGCTTAAATCTAATAATAATAATAATAATAATAATAATAATAATAATAATAATAAAAATAAAGAGTATTTTATATAGCGTCAATATCGCCAGGCTTCAACAACGCTTTACAATATATTGGTCATGAGAAAAGAAATTAGGATAAAACTGAAAAGTAGGTTTATAATTGAAGCTTAAATCAAATTTATTTAAAATATTAGTTTAAATTGATCATTAAACTTCTGGTCTAACAAGTTATTTATCATCCAACTGCGCTCACTTTTTCCCAAAGGAAAAAAACAACAACTTCAAAACGAATATTTCATTATATTTTGTATATAATAATATCAATATTGTATAATACCTATATCAAAGCTAGAGTATGAATATCGCAGGATATTTGTACTCGCTCCAGGCTTTCTCCTGCGTTATTAGTACTCTTGTAGTACACTCAACAAAATAATAGGACAAGAGGAGTACAATTAAATCCCAAAATCGTACTCTGTAGAGTCCCAATTAAGTTGCTCAATTTTTTTGATTTTATTATAAACAAAAAATAATTTGAATAGTTCGATGATAAATCTTCATAATGCATTATTCATGTTTCAATATCACAAGAGTATATAAGTAAAGCTTTTAATAACTTCTTCAAAAGTGTTTCTTCTGTCCACTAGTATGATACTACCCGAGCTTCAAGATTTAGTTATTATGCTTCTGCAATCAAAACTTATTGTGGCTCATTTAGCACCAAATAGAGGCATTCTGCCTTCTTGAAAGTTTAATCCTGAACACGAAAACAATGTGTTTTTCAAAAAATATTCATAACTTTTTTGTTGGCTACAAGTCAATTATTCAGATATGTGGGTGAATGGTTGTGCATTAATCAAAACCTCTCAGTTATCTAACTTATGGCCCCAGAAAACAAAAACTTAAACTTGAAATATGTATTTTAAAAAAAACTATACGATGTAACAATGAACAAAAAAAAAAAAGAGTATAAATTAGCAATTAGTCTTCGAGCACGAATGAGATATTGACTAATAGTCATAGTGCGAGAGAACTAATTATTTTAGTCAAATCCAACTATTCGGTCAAATATTTAGATGCAAACAAGTCTTCAATTAAAATGAAATTCAATGTTTTGCCTTTCAAAGCCGGCACTTTTTGCTACTAGTAAGCCATAACGTATAGCACACTAGTAGCTCATCCAATCAGAATGCAGCATTGATGACAGACCGCTAGTTGAATTTGACTAATAATAATTATCTAGTAACACATTTACTTCATTATTTGAATCTTTACCTTCCGAATTTAGGGCGAGAGGAATCTCTTCGTATGCGGATTCTTTACTCTCATCGACAAAGCTTGGTCCACCCTCTTTTTCGCCAAAGTCTTTGTTTCCACGTGCGTATACATAAGTGTGATCCAGGAACACCTCAACTGGGGCAAGCTGGAGGAGCTCCCCAAACGTTTTATGAGGTTTTTTTATCACATGACTAGCTTTCTTTGACTGAGTCACGTTAACGTCAATGTTGTCGGCCTCGTTTTCGTGCCTTTTAACCCAATGAGACAGCAAGCAAGATTCGAAGGGTTTGCTGTACAATAAGAAAAATGAATTATAACATTAATGTGTTATGGGAATAGAATGCAACTGTTAGAAAATTTACCAGGAAGTTAAGGCATCCTCGATGAGAACGAATGGCGGTCTTTGAGAAGGCAAATGCAGCAAACACTGCTTTGCAACCAGGTAAACCCATATTGGCATAAGTTGTGGCCTCGCTGGACGTTTGTTTGCTTGTAGATGGGCCAGAATCTGAATAAAAAAATACAGATGCAATTAGTTGTTCAAAAGGGAAGACAAGATCTGGACATCCATAGAAACACAAACCTGGTTGTCTTCGATGGTAGGAAATGGTTTGACGTCGTCTGTTTTACACTCTTTTGCTGCATCAAGAGCATCAAACAACTCATAGCACACGAGACCAAATGAATATACATCACTGCTATGCGAGTAAATACCGTCTTTTATCACTTCTGGAGGGCTCCTAGCAAAATTGAATGAAATTCAAATAGGATCCAGATGATTTGACCGCATTCACCGAAAGGAATTATGGGTCAATTTGTTTTGTTGAGCATTTTCCAAACAGGGACTTAATGCAATGTAGATTTCTCTTTATGGTTGAAATGGAATTCTAACGAAATAATTATCATAACTTAATTAGAAAAAAATAAACTACTTTCAGAGCAAATTTATATCTATATAAGTTTAAGTTAATGCTTCAACCATTAGTCCCATAAATTCACGAACAAAAGCTTGCTGAAAGATTGGAAAGGACGTTATTTATATCTTCACTAGTAAGGACATGAAAAATATGTCACTGGCGTCCCGGATGTAGTTTGTATGAAAAATACGAGTGTCGTATAGAGGTTTTGCACCATCACGTGATGGCAGCCATGACAGGTGGCAAAAACAATGGAATCTTGTCTTATCTGATTTACTATACGTGAGAAATAATTCCGTCTTTCAGTGGAAAAATATTCTACTGCTGTGCCTTCTGTCATGGCTTCCATCACGTGATGGTGCAAAGCCTATAATTCCCAGTAAAATACTAGTGTAACTATTTAAAGCAATCAGCTATCTGAAAAGCAACTCTAAGTCACGTGTCCCGGGCTTTGAAATCAGCCCCGCTCTCCCCTCCCCTAGTATCAATCCGGTTTTCCACCGAATTTCAAACATCACATCAAACAATAGAAATGAATAGGGCGTGGTTGGTTTTAAAAATGAATTAATTTTAACAGCTTACCATCTTACAGCATCTTCTGGCATAGGGCATTTAGTGTCAATCATCATACCAACAGCCTTTGWTCGACCAAGACGTGAAACTTTTACCTATTTACATATGATATTTCATTTTCGGCTTGATAAATGGTTTATATAGTTTTGTTATAACTTATAGAAACTAGGCGATAAAAAAATATGAGATATTCGAGTTATTTTCTGAAAACGAGTAAAAAATAAATAAAAAATGGAGAAACTGCTATAATCAATTAGATAGTCGAGTAGCTTTTTTATGAAGTTATTTTCTAAACTCATGTACTCATGCAATCATGAGAAAGTTAGAAAACGTTAATAGATTATTGATGGGTTTAAAGGCAAAAAAAAAGATGGCGGCCATTTCGGGGCCATTAACAAGAGATGCTAAAAAATATTTCTTATATGGCACCAACGCTTCCCCGAGATGCCGCGATGACGTAACGTGCAATTTAAGAATTACGCATTCCTCGTTAATAAAGTTTTTGTTTTGTCGCAACGTTTACGTGCTGTAGGTCTAAAATTCCCTCTGTAAACGAAACTACCGCTCTATGGAGACAAAACCATCATAGAAGCTATAACTCTTTCATGTGACGTCAAAGCAGCTCACAGGCATCGCCGAGGGGAAAAATGGAAGACTGGGGACTATAGTTTTGACACCATATTTTGAAATACTTGTTTGCTATTTAAGATATCGATAGAGGTTTTGCACCAACACGTGCCCATGCCATTAATATAGCCTGGGCTGAATTATTTCTCGTGTAAAACGATTGTATTGTTCCTGCTATCTAACTTGGCTGCCGTCACGTGATGGTGCAAAACGTCTATAGCCAATGACAAAAATGTCCTTTAAAACGCACTTTCAAGGGTCTTAGTTTCAAACCTTTTTCGGCAGCGTTTGCCCTCGAACTCTGGCTCAAATGGAAGGACAAAGCAATCTCCTGAGAATTGGAAACCTATTGTTATGTCCTCCAAATTGAGCTGCATTCCGACGTGCTACAAGGGGTCAATAGATCAGGGTCCAATTGACTGATAAAAAAAGGAAGAACAAACCTTATCATTAGGAAAAACCATGATGTGTTCTGCTCTCAGGTCACCGTGGATTATATTATTATCGTGTAGAAATTGTACTCCCTGGGATATCTGGGCAACAAAAGTCACGAGCTGTTCTGGTAGATACTTTTCCACTAACACTTTCTGTAACAAGTTACCAAGTCCTGAATACTCTGTCACCTAAGTGATAATAAAAACAACCAGTGACCATGAAGCTACTGATGTGCGACGTTGATGGAGAGCCGACAGCATATTTCATAATGTAAATAGAAAAAAAATCCTTTACTTGAGTTTTCAGTTGATCCTTAGGGAAGGTCGTATTTTTGAATTCATTGAACTTCGCGCTCATCAAGCTTATACTTTGAAGGCCTTGGATTGAATTCCTATGTCGACGATACGGCGGGTATCTTAGAATGCAAGGTATCATAGGACGTTCAGGGGGAAATAAACCTTTGTGACAGTAATGACGATCATTGATATTTACAGCTCTCACCACAAAAGAATACAACAAGAGATGAATTAAGAAGGATCTTTGATCACCTTTACCCATAAAGCCTGGTTCACACGAGCAACGCAAACGCAAACGCAAACGCAAACGCAAACGCAAACGCAAACGCAA